GCTAAAGCTTCATGTGTGAATCCAGTTAGCATGAGCCACTGCAACTGGGCAACAAGTGTTTCTCTGATACTTGGAAGATAGGGCAAGGATGGAGATGGAAAAATTCAATCTGGAGCAAGGATCCTGTGATCCACTGGGATGCTGCTGAACTACCAGACCCAGGAACCCCAACCGATATAGCCTGTGGTGAGGAATGCTAGAGCAAACAACATTTGACCACAGACCACAGCCTTCTCAACCCATGCATGGGACTCCTCCTCCTACCCTGAAGATCAACCCTGAGGTCAGAACATTCTGCTTTCCTCCACCTCCTTCAAGAGCTTTCCTGGAAATAATTGTATTTCATTTGCAGTGAGGAATGACTCCCCATTCCCTACAAGCTGCTTTCTACTAGCTGCAAGCTCCAGCTGAGGCAGAAATCAACATTTGCAAAGGATAGTGAATATCAAGGAGTCCTTCTCACCTCAAGGCTCTGCAGCTGCTCCTTCAGAAGTATTTTCTCCTCCCTCTCCGTCTGCAGTTTCAGTTCAACCTCTGACAGAAGCTGCTGGGAGGTGGCACTGCTGTTGCTGTCAAATGCCTGCTGCTCTGAAGCCTCTGGCACAGTGGGACAAGGATCCAGAGAAGCATCACCTTTTCCACCACCTCGGTTTTCTGCCTGCCGGGCCACTTCCTTCTCATAGCGCTCCTGTAAAGCTGGAGAACAAGGGCCAGCCATTCTGAGCAGACCAGAGTTTTCTTCTTCTGTATCCCTTTTATTTTAAATGTTTTTTTCAAACTTGGCAACTTTAAGATGTGTGAACTACAACTCCCAGAATTCCCCAGCCAGCATGCTGGTCAGAAATTCTGGGAGTTGAAGTCCACACATCTTAAAGTTGCCAAATTTGAAAAATACGGATTTAAATCAGGGATGGGCATCTTCAGGCCCAGGGGCCAACTCTGACTCCCAAGTTCCTTTTGCAGCCTGGAACAGCCCTCCCTCTTTCAGTTTCGCTTCTGAAATCCCAAAGCAAACCACCCAATAACGGTCATATGATATTCTGCAGTTTTTCATCAAAGTTAGAAGTAAAATGGTATAATAACTAAGTTTCCCGGGAAAAAATTCCAGAAAGGAGGGAACTTTCTTCCCTTTGATGAAAACTTTGCATTGCTACTTTGAACCCCTGAAAAAAATATAGGAAAGAAAAGTGTGAGCCCCACGCCACAAAAATATTATCTGCTCTGGTTATAAGTCACACACCACTTGCTTTGCCAGCAATATTTTCCTAATGCTCACATGACTGATGAAGACTCACTGAATCTTCTCCACCATTGGTAAATGATTATGGGGGAAATACACTGCAATTTCCATTTTTTATGTTACTTCCTTTTTATGTTGTATCAGGAACTACTTGTTGGAAGCTGCTTCCCAGATTTCAGCAGCTCTCATAAAAAGAAATAAAAAGAAGCTGTTAGCAGATTGGCAATCAGCCCCAATTAGGACTCTTACAAGGACCTCTAGCCTGTTGTGTTTCCTGCTGCTCCTTGTCTTGTTCAGCACTGATCTTCCTTGAACTCACACCTCTACTGCCTCCTTCCATGACTTGGCTGTTGATCTTAACTTTGTCCCCTACCCTGTTCCAACATTTTCACATTCTGGCCTACGCTGGCACCCCAGAGGTTGGGGCCATAAAGCAGGCACTCCTTCAGAACAATTGCTAGGCTGAAGGAACAGATCTGCTTGCAGGTGGGGGACAAGATATATTCTCTATGGCAACCTTCCCCATCATGGATGTCCTTCAGCTGTGTGGGCTTCAAGGCCCAGAATTCTCAGCAATGGCCATATTTGGGGAAGGCTGCTCTATGGTGCTCCACCTTGTCAATCTTCCCCCTGAAGTCAGCCTGTCCAATTCCCTGGACTTTCCAGTCTTCAGTTTGAGCCCCCACAGTTGTAAGCAAGCAAGAATGGTACCTGCCATGTTCTTCTGCAGGGCAGAGTTCTCTGCCTGCAGCCTTAACAACTCTCCATCCACAGAGCTGGCTGGGAATGCCTCTTCGCTGGCTACTGCTGTCTTCCCTTCCCGAAGACTCTGATTCTCCTTCTCCAACTGCTCAATCTGGGAGCACAGCTATATTTGAGAGACCAAAGGACTGGATTTCAGCAAATAGCACATTTAACAAAAAGCACAGAGGATCCACCTGGGGGGAAATTGGTCTGCAGCTGAGCCCAGATCTTCATGGCAAGAAAAAGCACTTGTTACCCCAGCTCCCCAAAAGAAGCCGCAAGAGTGCGCTCTAAAGAATTGGCTATAAGGGATGCAGTCTATCTTCACTCTACAATGGCTTTGATTTTATACATCTAGGAGTAACCTAATCATCACAACAAATTCTCCCCCCGCTGATTCGCCTGCACTTTTCCAATCTCAATAAGCATGCAAAGAGCAGTTGCTAAGAAAAAGCCTCCCACTCAGAATGTTTCGTAATACTACACAAATGACTCAAATATCACACCGTGGAGTGAGAGTGGAGGTGGAAGGAGAAAGAAAAACTTTTGCAGCAACCGGACTTGCCAATCTGATAGGCAAACTAGGTGAATGACAAGGAAAAAATTATTCACGTGCATGAAGAAGTATGTTGGGGAGCTAAAGATTGGTATTCCTCCCACCCACACTTTGTATTTAGTATATCCTTTGGGTTAGCTGTGATAACAAAGAAAAGAAAAGGTTGGGAAATATAAGATTAACCATGGAGGGAAAGAACCTTTGAGACCTGAGCTGGAGATGCCAGATTAGAAGTACTAAATTACGTATGCAGTTAAATGTGTTGTGCAACACTTTAGATTCCGTGTGCAAAAGGTGTTTTGAAGGATACAGGAGAGCAAACTTAGCACCTGTCTGCAACACCGTAACAAAGTATTTTCCCAGAACTGACCCTGGGAAAGAGAGCAGCTGCTTTAAGGGGCTTGAGACAGGTGCTACATTTGCACACCTGTGCCCTCCTATATACTGTTTGGAAATTGAATCTGAAGCACTGCACAGTCCTAATTCATTCTCTTGTGACTTTGAATGCGGTTCCTGCACTTTTGACCAAAAAAAAAAAAGGTAGGACTATATGTTTTGAAGAGCTGGATGTTTTCAAACTGAGGCTGGGTAGACATTTGTTAAGATACTTGACTTTGGATTTCTGCACTGGCCAGATGGTTGAATGCAATTGTCTAAATGATCCCTTCCAACTCTATGGTTCTAGAATTCTATCTCAGAATTCTGCACGGTTAATCAGCAGTGCTATTCTCTGTCACACAGCACCCTCTGGCATGACCCTGGTGGCACTGCAAAAGGAATACGAGTCCAGTACCTTGGAGAGCTCCTGCATGAGAGTACTATTTTGCAGCCTGAAGTCATCCTCTTGGCTATGTAGTTTTCCCTGAAGCATTTCATTTTCGCTAAGCAGTGCATCCACCTCCTAGGGAAGCAAAGTCAACAAAATTGCATGAAATCCCAAACACATAATCAATGCAAGGTTCACTTCCCTCCACTAGATGGCAGACTCAATCCTCAAGCAGATCAGGCCTCCTTTGCCAATCTCCCAACAATATTAAGAAATGTTCTCACTTGCTATCTTCCTGCCTTTTTTCCTACTACGATTCTAGATGGTCCATCTTATGGCAAGGGGCCCTTAGTTCGTGACTGAATGCTAGCAGTTCTGCAGTGGGTAGCAGAGAAACTGGTGGCAGGATGCATTCAAGAGGAGGAATAGGTAGAGATGATATGGAAATCATATTTTCTATTCTATCTAGACCATTATCAGCTGCTATCTCTCTTGTTTTTTCAGACCAACAGTTATACATGCATATGAAATGGCTCCTTTAAATTTGGGGGCTTCTGAATATCTGAATATTCTGAATAAAACGGGTCAGAAAAACTAGAGAACTAGGACTGCCTCCATTTGAGCTTAGATTACTGACATTCCCTCTGGGCAGGGAGGTTGGAATCACCTGGGAGAAGAAAAGGAAGACTTGCAGATAGGTGGGAAACAAAAAAATATTAGTAACAAGTGATGGCAGACAGAGAGTCTGGATCTGGGCAGGACAGAACGTGACACAGCAATTGACACTATAAACTGATACCTTACCTGAGCCTTTTTACTCTTATTCAGAGCCTGGGAAAGAAAGAAAAAGTTGTGGATGAAGTTGACAGATTTTGCTGAATTTGAGAAATTGACTTCTTTGATTAGGGAAAAGACATGATCTACATTTATTGATGACTGGAAGACTCTTATAGACTTTTTGCATAAAAACAAACAAAAAATGAACTTCTGATTTATAGTTTTAATGATTAGGTAGGATAGATTATAGAAAGAAGAGTAATATGATATAACTTTAGAGAGAAAGAGGTTAAAATACATTATAACTGTTGTAAAGAATATCGGAAGCCTCTTTTTTCTTTCTTTTCTATTTTTCTTCAACTTTATTTTTCTTGCACTTTTTGCTTTTTGCTTTCTTTTTCTATTTTTCCTTGCTTCATCTTATTTTTGTGTTTAATCTTCTTGTTTAAAAGTTTCAATAAGAATTATATATTAAAAAAGGAAAGAAAGAAAGTCGTTAACAAAGCACCAATAAAGTTTAGACAGAGGGTCAATGGTACCAAAATACTGATTTTTATGGTGCTTATTGCTTACTCTCATAGATCCCCTGAAGAATGACTACAAACTCCTGTAATTACAAATTTTGAAATTGTTGAAGTCTAAGACTACCCATTTTTAAAACCCAATTGTGTCCTTTCACCACTTAAAGTGCAGGCATTCTACAACATTTTTTTTGAAAGTCACAAAACTTGAAACTAAAAGGGAATAATAAGGTAGTTCTAGTGTCACAACTTTTTAACACTTGTTTATATAAATTATTAGTCAGTTTTATCCAGAGTAGAATGTAAAAATCAAGAAATATCCACTAATGGTTTTGTGATTCCTTGGTGATCTTCCCCCCAAAGAAAATTTACATTGTCTACTAATGTACACCTGCTATTTCATTAAATAATGTTACTTTACCTTCTGAGCCTTAGCAAATTCCTTGTCTAAATAGGTCACCCGTTGTCGAAGCCCATTTAATTCTAAACAATCAAGAGAAGAACAAATCAGAATTAGGAAAATATTTTAGAAAAAGAGTATCTGTCTTTTGTCATTCTGAACATGTAGGATATGGTATGAAATATGGTATGTGACCCTAAATTCCTGACCATTCTGATTTTTGAATGTGTACTTAAAAAGCATGTTTCTAGCCCTCAGCTCCATCAGTCTGCCAGACATAAAAGCATTTAATCAGCAGTGCATGCTTGCTTTGGCCTTGAGAGCACCAGAAACGAAAGACAGGCCACAGACTTAGAGAAGTGTTGCAGTAAGATACCCAATAGGACCATTCTGATTGCAAGTTGAGAAAGATTTTTTTTAAAACTTTCCAAATGATGCAGAGAACATAAGTCATATTAAAGATGAGAGAAGCAGCTACACAACAACAAAGGAAGAACAAAAAAATATCATGGCTAGAGAACAGCTAAATGAAATCCTATTTCCTCTCCACGCCTAGAGCCAGAAAAGCTGCAAGGAAGGGGCAAAAGAGGAGGTGAATATTTTACAGCCATTCTCCGAGTACAGGAATAGATATAAGTTTTGCAAATCCCTGAGAACTTTGTGCAATTTATTCTGCTTCTGCGCATCACAGAGAGGGATGTGGTGCTAAACAGGCACTGATGCCTTACCCTCAAACCGCAGCAAAGCTTCCTTGGCAATTGCCCGCTCATAAGATTTCATCATACACTGTCTGGGCACCTTCAAACATAACTTCACAATCACAGGGGTGAGAAAGCCAATTCTTTTAAATTCTATGGTCAGTACTACATTCTAGCTATTTCTTGTGCGGTTGCAAACCACGACATACGGTAACTTTTCATATACTTCAGAACTCACTCATTCTGCTGCTTTCTTTCTACTGAATTTCAGATTTTGCAAGAGCCATGCTAACAGCTAGACAACTGAACCAGCATAACCATATGCAAATGTAAGCATATATGAATACATGCAGGGATTCTGATGCTTTCATGATGGGCACAAAATGTAATAGCCCAGATCACAGAGTCACTAGGGGAGCAGACCTGAGGAGAGAGTCTTACCAGCTGAGTTTTTGCGGAGTTCATCAGAGAGTTGGTAATTCTGTGTTCGAAGTTCTAATAACTGGGCCTACCAAGAGAAACAAAAAAGGTAAAAAAAAAAAGGGGGGGGAACATCACCAGGACAAGCCATATAGATGACTAGGTGGGATTAAGGCCAGTTTGGTTCTTATGAGGCTTAAGACAGGAACCAGTATCTTCCTCACCAGAGATGGCTGCTCAGCTTCATGGCCATCAAGTGCTAGGTCACATATCCATTAATTTGGAAGTTGTGTCTAAGCCCTTGAGACTGCGAATGTCATTTACAGTACATCTTTTCACTGGCAGGGGGCAATCATCTGTTCTGCATGGCTTTGCCCTTGATTGCAGTAAAGATTCTAATCTATCTGAGCTGAATCTGGGAACTGCTGCCAAATCAAGTCAAGGACTTGAGCTAAACCATGAGCCATCAGGAGATTTGCTGCTGAATTTAGGTCAGGAAGCCCAGCAGTTCTCTTCAAACCTTGGGCTCTGAACATATATTGGTTGAGATACAGTGTGTATGAGACTTTTGTAAACTGTAGGCAACACTGCTACTAATTCTTAATTATTTCAAAAAATAAATTTGTATTATTCTTGACTGACAAAATGTGGTAAAGGTTAGTCTAGAGCTGCCATTGCTAAGGGGGGCTTTGAACCCAGCTATCCAAAATCCATCCAGTGAATCAGACTGGCTTTTAAGAGTTGGAGAAAGATGATGCAAAGCAAATGAAAAGGCTTCTATTGGCCCTTCAGTACTGTGATCTACAGAACTTATTCTTATAAATTCTGTAGGGGAATTTATTTCCCCCACTTATTCTTTAATACTAAAGGCCCTGGTTGCTATTGGGTTTTTCCCCCCCCTTCTAAGGCCTTGAAAACTACACCCCAAAAGAGTCTTCTGCCAAACCCATTGCAGCATCTTCCACTGTCAGTGCATGTTACTTCTAACTCTTGGCTGGCAACCACGTGGGTGAGTTGTTTCAGTGATTAAGACAGCTAATATCTCTGCTCTAACTCTGCACCCTCCTCAGACCACCTGATATTCTCAAGGTGTGCTGAACATGTGAAAAAAAAATCTCTGTATTAACTGGCCTTTTCCCTCTAGAAGGGTATTTGTACTTCGGCACCAAATGAAGAAAAAGTATTAACTGAGAGTTGTAAAGAACTCTGTAAATATCAGAACCTCAGCTAAGGTAGAAAGTTCATTTGAGCCAATAATGACAAAGCCCATAATTGACCAAGCTGCATATGGTACTGCAAACAAATGAACAGTGTGCACATACACTGAATATTATTATCCTGATAACAACATTGACCAACTCATTTGTAGAATTTTCCATTGGGCAAAAGATTAAATAAGGATCAGTGGCCTTTTATATTTTGGAAAGTTGTATCTGTGGTCTAAATATGAAGATCAGCAAGAAGAGAAATAAAAGACAGAGTGATGGAATATATGATATCTCCTTATTAAGTACAACACCTTGAACTGGAGAATGGGAACACTATTCACCTTCTTTCACACTACAACTGGAAAGGTCCAAAGGCAAGAGAAGTGAGTAAAAGACACGGCTTCACCTGCAGAAGTGAGCTGAAAGGGGTCCCCAGTGAAAATGAGCAATGCACAGCAATGCAACTCAGGATGGGTGTGTGTGTCAGTATGTATTTACTCTGTATACACAAAGCCAGACTTTCCCAATCTGGTGCACACCCAATACATTCAGCTGTTATCACTACTGGTTATGCTATGGGATTCGTAATCTGTAACATCAGGAAGTCACCAGGTTGGTTAAAGCTATCCTAGGATGATCAAATTCAAACAGCAGAGCTTCTTTAATGCTTTTGCAAAAGAAGGGATGCTGGTAAGCAAAGTCTGTAATGCGGGGGATGAGAAAAATTGCCTCTGGAAACATTCCTTCTCTTACATAAGCTGCCCAAAGAGACACCAGCCCCATCTTCCTCTGCCTCTAGGCCACCCTTGCACAGAGATGACTAGCCAGTTCTGCATCTGCCCGGGGGAGGGGGAGAGCACAAGTGAGGCGGCGCAATACCAGCCCAGGCTTCGTGCCAATCTCAGCGGGGAGGCGGCTCATTTCCAAGAATGTGATTTAACTACACCCACGGGACAAGAGCCACCTCCTCCATTAATTAATGCATTCCCAAGGCAGTCTTCCACAATCTGCGTCCTCCAGATGTGCCGAACTACAACTTCCAGAAGCTACGCCGTGGAGGGATCTTGGGAACTGTAGTCCAAACGCACCAGCTCGGGGCAGGTGGGCTGCAAGCGCTTTAAGCCAGCACCTGAAGGCTCGAAGCGCAACGGCGGGGAACGCGCGTAGAAAATACAGCGAAGCAGCTGCGGCGGGCTACCCGCTCGTTACTGAGTCCATGCTCCGCGGGAACCCCGATTTTGCCCCGGTCACCTGGGGAGCAGCCCGAAAAAAGACGCCCCCGGGTGCACCGCTCTTCGGGCATCGCGCCCCCTCCTCCGGCTTTTGCACCCCCGGCTCCTCGCTACGCTCTCCGCGGGAAAAGCTTCCCGGAATCGGAGCCCGCTGCTCTTCCCCACCCCCGTCCGCTCGCTGCGGGAATGCTCCGCAGGCCCCCGCCGGCATCCCTCGGTCTTCCGCTCCCGCCAGCCAGACGCACCTGCATGCGCTCGAACTCCTCTTCGGACAAGGCCTGCGCCATCTTCCCTCCCCCGCCTCCCCCCCGGCTCGGCTCCAGCTTGGTACGATCCAAAGGAGAGAGGAAGAAGGAACGGCAAGTCTGCCCCTGCCCGCTCGTGGAGGAGGATGACGAGGTGGCTTTAAGAAGGTATCATAGAGGGAACAGGAGAGAGGACGGATGTTTTCATTGGCGTTCTCTTTTTCTTGTCTGCACCGCAGGGAGGAACCGCGGAACCGGCGGACTGGAGCTCGGAGGCCGGAAGTGAAGAGGCATAGAGATGAGCCGGCACTGCTAAAAAAATCGTGATTCGCAACTGGAGCTTGAGAAGGTGGGGGGGAGTGGTATGAATAAGAGGAGAAAGTGTAGAACTGCAGCTCGGATGCTCCCATGGAAACAGAAGCCTAGAAAGGATGCCAGCGCTTTCCCGTGAGGGTCATAGAGATGCCGGAAGTGACTGGTTGAGATCATAGTAACGGGGGGCGACACCGCCCACTGTGTCATAGATGAAAGCGAAACGGCCGAGGTGGAGGAAGGCGGCGGCGGCGGCGGCTTCGGAAGTGATCGATAATAACTGAAAGACGCGCGCCCTCAACGCTCTTCTCCTTTCCGGGGTCACATCAACATTTGTTCTCTCCAGCATCCAATGCAAGATCGCCAGAGGCCAACGGAGTCTCGCGACCTTTCCTGCCTCCGCCGAGGAGCGTCTCCGGGAGCGGAAGCGCTTTGATTGGTAGAGGGCGCCTTACGACGTGTCGTACCGAGTTCGGCGGCCCCTCGCAGTCCTCCTGGGGATCGTGAGAACGGGACCGAAATCTTTTGCATGCAAAGCAGGTATTCAGGAGCTGCTCCCTATAACGGGAGTAATCAGGAATAATGGACACCGCGCAGGTGCATTTCTTACAGGAAAGAAAGCAGAAGGCTGCAAGCTTATACCGACTGAATTGCGATTAAGGCCCTTTCGTTCAATAGCATTGCTAGTTATGTGGAGGAATGTGCTGTAAGGGTATAATCCTAAACGCATTTACTTAGGGAAACTCAGACTTACTGTCATGCAATCATTCATAGGAAAGGCACTCTCTCCAAGAAGATTCCCAGGTCTTAACGTGAATATATTTGATTTATACAAGACACCTAAATCTGTTACAGCTGTTCATACATTGGACTAAACCAGATTTGCTTGTTTCACACAATATGAAAGTCACAGTATCACATGTGAAATAAATTCTAATTTGTCCAGAGACAATGACTTAAATCCAAGCTTTATCCATGTAGCAAGTCCCATTCTGCAGCTGTTCCTTCCCCCATGTAATTAGTAGTTTGAGGCCCACTCACTAAATCCTTTTAAATGGATTACGCAGGTTGAATTAAATCTACTGCTGTGCTTCTGTTAACTTTCCATCACCACCTTCTATTTTATGAACATAATCAGTTGGGACTTTGCTAACCTTCCAAGTTATAAATAACACTTGATGAGAACCAAAATCTGCAAATTATTCTATAACAAATTTATTTGCATTGAATGTCACAAGACGGTGTTAGACTCCAGCCTAACAAGTCTCTCTCTGAGAGGGCCACCACCATCTGAATTCATGCCCAGTATTAGGAAGTTAACATGATACTGAGGAATGGCTTCATATAGTTAAAATTTTGAATCAGGATTACTGCAAATAAGGCTGTCAGCCTCAGAAGCTATCTTATCCAGCTATTAGAACCCTCCCAAAATGTATGAAACATTGGCCACAAGTGCTATGCTCTCAGGCAGAGAACATCCCTAATTTCTAAAGTGGTACAAGAGATTCCAATCTTCAGTGTAACTTTTCAGACTGGGATTCGCCTGCCCCTTTGAAACTGTTGCTACTAGAAGCTAACTTTATTAGTCTCATCACTCATTGAGTGTGTGGCAAACCATGCACCCATTACAGTATTGTAGTCATAAACATGTATCTGTTTGTGAGAAATAACTTTGTATTATCTAAATACAAAGTTATTCCTTGTAAACAGATACATGTTTCATTTTGCCATATGTAGTGCTACAGGGTATTAAGCTTTCCTGCAATTTAACTGTTTCTTTTGTAAATAAAATCCTCAATTTCCTTGAAAGCCTGTTAGGTAGCCTATAATTCACAATTCTCTTAGTCTCATCCTGAGGTGCTAAAATCAAGATCCTATATGTCAGTAAATACAATCATGTCAACTATGAAGGATGCTTAATTTGTATAAGTTCTCTTGCACATATTCATGAACAAGTGGCACCTCAATGAGTGTATTCCTTACTTATCGGTGTTTGAAAGAAATAACACAGGCAGACTTCATAAATGACTAGAAATAGATGCATTCAGCACTCTAGAATCAGAAATGTGCATCTAATGCCACGTATATTATGGCTTAGTGACCCAATTTTACTAAGCCTTTAGTAAAAGCATGAATAAAATGCATCAGTTACAAAGATTACATCTGGGATTTGTTGTTTGACTTCAGAAGAGAAACTAAAACACTAGTGGTCAATTTGGAACCCCAGGGGCCAAATCACATTGTTATCAAAGTGTGGAATAACTCTGTTCTCAGCAATCCTTGGTGTAAAATAAGGTTCATGAATATGAGTTTTCACCAGCTTGAATTCAGATCCTTTTTTTTCAACATCAGAAATCTCTTAATCTTCTGGCCGCCAACCAGATGTGGCTTTTTAAAAAATGAATTGAAACACCTTGAATTTTGCAAAACACAATGATGAAAAAGGTGGCATAATTGGCTGTAGAAAATGATCATTGTTCATTTATTTGTTTAGAAGCCTCTAGTATTGGTAATTGGGAATGTTTAAACATACAATATAAAATGATAGAAAGTGGCATCTGGGTCATTAAGGATGTAGAATCCACAAAAGAGGAAAAATAGTGTCTCGCCTCAAATTTGCAATTCTCCCTTCTTTCATCCCCTGAACAGTCCAACTCAACTCATATTAAGAACTGCAACCACTTGCCCAACCTACTCTTCCCAAGATGCTCTGCCCTCAGCCCTCTTTCTTCTTGCTAACCAGGCATGCTGAAATAGCACTTAACAACATCTCACTTACACTGACCACCTAATCCCATATCCTTGTCTCCTGCTCAAGGAGGTCTCAGCTGAGAAACTGCCCAGATATGCATAATTCTCACTCAAATTGCTACCTACATCATTACATCCCCCTGTAGAATCCAACCTGAATCATTCTGTGCATATTCAGACCCCTTCCTCTTAGGAGGTTCCTCCCATATTTAGAGTTATCCTTCTTGCAAAATAGAAGTGCCAAGCTCCTTTTTAAATCTAGACATTCAATAATGCCAGATGTCTAAGAGTTTGTGTTCAGATAATCTTTTGGAACAGGGTCATCATATCTTCTTATGAGCATTCATATACATGGTAGTGATGAAGTTTCCAGTGAAGCCCAAATGATTGTCTTTGCAACAATTTTTCCCTATTCTTTTAAACAACCAGAAAACAGGTCATAGATCTGCTTTCAGTATTTTTAAAGTCTAACAAATCATTAAACAGTCCTATTTGCTGTGTTTCTACTAACATCAATTTGGTAAGCAAGAAAGTATTTAAAAAAAAACACTGATTATAGTTTCATTTATCTTACAAAAACAGGAAATGGCAATTAAATCCTACTGAGCAGCCATGACACTTCAATAGTCATATGTGCAATTACAAGGACATTATTTACTTTTTTTTTTGCCCTCCACCTTTCCCAGTGAAGTTCCAAGAGGCACTGTCTTGTCCCCCCTTCACATGGGCTAGCCATATTGTGAAGTAGAGTGCCAAGTAACTCAAATGTTAAGGTTTCACTAACTAGAAAGTGGCAGTTTAGTAAAACTTTGAAATAATGACAGGAAAAGGCTAAGATGTACAAATTAAAAAGTCCAATATCTATATAAAATAAAGCTCTCTTTTTTAAAAAAAGGTAGTGGCTCTCTGCTTTGCAAAAACACTATGAAAGAAGTCCACTTTCCTCCTCCCCTCCCTTCCCAATTCTGCTCAAATTATATACAGCAAAGATGCAAGAGTGTAAAGTAAAGGTTAGAGTGAAGGAATCAAGGTTTGTGATTACATGCTCTTTGCACAGCATTAAAGCAATACCCTATTGAAGTTTAGAACAGGTAAGGGAGATGCACAAATTTATCACACTGAGTTTCTGAGCCTTAATGGGTGCAGATAACATACAGTCCCACAATTAGTGACAAAATTCTGTTTCTACTGCTTCTAGGAAGGACGTTTGCTATTACATGGTTCGAGCCCACCTTCTGTAGGAAGAAAATTTAACCATGAGTTCCCTCCTTTTTGTTAAAGGGGTACCTTTAAAAATATAGAATATTATGAAAGGGGTGGTACTTCCAGAGGGACACAGCCTATAGCAACCGAAGAGAGGAGCCTCCAAGATTTGAAGCTGATGAGTGTAAGCAGCAAAGTCTGCATTGGGCCAGAACAAGACATGTAAAATGGCAAAGCCATTTCCAGCTCCTCCATCCCTACTGCCCCCAATGCCAAGGGCTGCCATCATGAATCATCTTCCATGCTGAAGCTGGAACGGCGACTGCTGCCCTTTGAGGCACCAGGAGAGACAGAGGAAAGGAGTGGGTCGGAGGCGCCCAGCGGGGACAGAGCAGTCCCATCGTCCATGAGAACATCTTGCAAGGCTCCCCCGTCAGATCCCAGTGCAAGACCCAGACCCAGCTCTTCAGCTGAAAAGGGCAGATCCAGGGACTCTGCAAATGGCGGAGCCAGGTCTCCTCCCAAGGACTGTGCCAGAAGCCCCTGGGTGGAAGTCAAAGGCAACCCGTGCATCTGGACCTGGAGTTCCAGCTCCTGCAGAAGAAGTCACAGACAGGCTCATGAGACTTGGCAGCAGGCCTGAGCTGCATTGCCCCCAT